GAGCTCTACTGACGAGGAAGGCCAAACATGGTCATTGCTGAGAGAAGTCGCTGAGTATCCTGGTGATTAAAGGGGTGTTACAGCCCATACGTCTGCAGAAGTTTCTCCGCCATTGCCACATTCTCTTCAGTCAAATTTGAGATCAGCTTACTTATTTGTAGGGTCCACTAATATCTAGTTGAAACCCTCAAGTCCTAGATTGAAAACTGAAGAACACAAAGGCCAGATCAGGCTATCGATATCGACTTTGATCACACCTTTCCTGCACCTTTCATAATGCTAAACACGATCAACTTCTATTACTGTGAAAGTTAAAACAGAGTTTTCGAGTCTCAAGGGGACGGGTGCTGCGACGCGATTGCATACTACCTTGAGCCCTCGGCCCCAAAACGACCGCTACTTTTCTTCCTAGTAAGCAGTGCTTTTTAAAGGAGCAACATCGGCGGTGCTAGACGGAATCACTTAGTTGAGCTGACCTAAATTTCCGGAGTGATCAACTCGCTTGCCACAGCGAACCATTCGCTTGCAAGTATTTGGTACATATAGTCAAAAGTTGACAATTACTATCAGAAGAACTCAAAATCCTTAGTTTTTGAACATTGTCTTCAAGCCTATAGGATACATTGATTGTGAAAATCAGCGGGTCAGCCAGTAGAATGTGTTAGACCTGTCTGTAAACGAGATTACCCGAGAACAAGCTAACATTAGCTGTTTCAAAACGCTACAAAGATGGGTGGATGGTTAAATTTCATACAGTTTTTCCTACTTCTTTCACACTATGTCTTTGGGACCCAGATGTATAGGGAAGGAGTAAACATTAGTTAAGTAGAAAAATGCTAACCTTAAAGCTTTCTGTTACATATCCCGCATTATGAGAGAAAGCTAGGACTATAGCCTCCTCTCTTTGCTGAAAATTCAGTAATCCAGTTTCCTGTAAAGGCTAATTAATTTGGGGTAGTTTTCTACCAAAAACTGAGTTCGCGCAGCCGCGCCGCAAGTAGACCGCGTTACACCCGCAACACGTGGCATCCTATCAAGTTCCATTCAAAAAATAGTCAGGAAAAAAAAAACAAGGAAATAAGATGGAAGTCAGGAACCGGAAAAAACTTGCATGGCAAATTATAGAAGTCTCACGAATGTGCCGCGAGTCTCTCATGACTCGATGGCCCTCTTAGCTACCGCCCAAAAAGAAACTCCGAAATGAAAAGTAGACAATGCGCACCTCGAAGGTTTAAGAGGAAGACCAAAGCGTGGCGCAGCAGGAACAACCTTCTCCGCTACATAAAGAGAACATTTGTTGCTTACATCTCTCCGGGAGGGGAGGGGTTCTAGTGTGCTGGTCGCGAATGACATAAATATTCCGTTGCGTCTGAAAATGCGGTCACGGGAAGGCCTTCACGGATTTGCCTGAGAAGTTCCCTAGTGGGGTATTTGACGTCTTTATCGTAAACGTGTGACCTATTGTTAGACGCAAGCCGTATACCCTTTAGGGGCTTCCATGAAAGGATGTGATATTTGTAGCAGCATATCAAATTTCTTCAAATCTCCCGTCCCTCCCTCACTCTTTCGCTCTCCCGCGCCCAGGCGAAAACTCAGCGAACTTCAGGATTTTATCTTTGATCGGAAAGGCTGGAATAGTCCAAAGCACAACTAATCCATGTGTGCAATGAATCGTAGCAAGAAAATTACTCAAAATTGATAAGAAAACAGCAAATGTCCGTATTAGGAATGAAGAAACCTTTTTTTGACCACTAAGTTATTTTCATGGCTCGTTCTTTATCATTTTCTAAGAAATTCACTTGACAGGTTTTCTTGCGTGCCTTTTCACATGTGCTGCATAAATCCCACCAATTTGAATTGCGAGCCGTAGAAGCAAGAACAGATGGATTTGAATTATTACTGACATCTGACAGCTCCTGTGCCATAGCGCACCAACAGCGCGCTGCAGCAGTGCGCTGCGGCTACGCAGAGCGTGCAGCGCTTCTATCACCGCGAGTATTCAAATTTCAATTCCGGCGTCTTCCTGCAATCGGGATTTCTACTCTGTTTT